TTCAAAAGTTATATTTAGCATTTTTTCGTAACTCTGAATATTGCTAAATAATTAACTTTTTAAAATAAACCATATTTAAGGTACTTTAGAGGAAGACGTATATGAACATTGGACATTTAAGCCCTGTAAAGTGACATCAATAGGGATAAGACCTAATTGATATTAAAGACCACTTAATTATACAATGATACACAGAGTTTAATCAAAATCGTTAGAGCCGTTTTTGAGAAAACTGTGAAAATGTGTTTCAGCGTTGATATAAAGTGGCACTTCCGGTTAGCCGATTTTAAGGAAAAAGTTGCCGTCACAACTAAGGAATATACCTATCTTAAATACGTGATATCAGTTTCATAGGACTTTTCGTTTTTGAGCTAGACTGCTAACATACAAACACACAGACACACAGACCATTTTTCGGGACTTGGTCATTTCGACTCAGGGTATCCTCAAAACGTATAAATCCGTCGAAAACTCAGATTCAAAAATTTTCTCGATCGCAATACTTACACTTACTATATATTACATATATACGTAAGTGAAAGTAAAAATTCAAATGGAGAGTGTAAAATAAATTAGTTAGTTCTCCCAAAGTCCCAATACCATAATTATTGATATAATGAAGCGATTTTGCAAAATAAATTGTATATCAACTTGATTTATTACTATAAAAAATTGTCAAAATTCTATTTAATGTTATCTGTCTACTATTAAGTTTATGTGAGTAATAATATATTCCCTTTGGCCAAACATCTAAAACATAGCAGTGATCCTTTAGATCAAGAATTTTTTTAAATTTAGTAATTTTTCTTTAAAATTAGTTACCGTACTGAATTGACTCCTTGATTTAAAAAAAAATTCAAACTAACTCAGTCATTAGTAAGTCAGTAGATACTAAATAAAAAAAACGAACGCATTACTAAATCTACATAATTGATCATATTAATAGCAAAGTAACTACAGATTTAGACAAGTTAAATTTTATTTTATTTTTATCATAAATTGAAAATCAGCGTCAACATGTCTACTATACCAAGCGTTCATGATTTGATGAATACCTCGATAAAGATTATGATAAAAATTCTTCAGATAGTCTGGAAGGAGGAGGGACATCTCTCCGTAGATCGATGGCGCATCCCCCTCTCACAAGAAATTTTTGTTGTGAACAGATTGTTGACTGGTAAATAATTAATGCGAAGAAAGTTTGAGGTATTCAGTAAAAAAGAAAAAAGAATGTAAAAATAAATAAGTATGTTTATTTTTATTTTTATTTTATTCTTCAATTTTTTTTTCCTCTCCTCAACTAAGAAATGGAGCAAGTGATTGTAAAGTTACAAAAATTGTACCGTAATTGGTACTCCTTAAAAATATGATACACTAAAAAAAAAAAATACAACCCTGTAACAACGAGCTCTCTCACCTCAAAAAATTCATTTAAAAACCCCGTAAAAATATGCTCCTAAAATTTTTGATGGCGTTACTTGCGCCATGTAATCCCCTTCTAGAAATCCCTGCTATTAGTCTTTATTTTATAATTGATTTCTTTCGGTAAATTGAAATCTAACAAACTCCTGTCTCGGGTAATCAATTTTTCGGAAATTCCTATTTTTTCAATGTATCCCTGGAAAGGAGGAGGTGCTGCTACCTAACCTTGACCCCTCTGTACTCCATGTACACCTAGTAAATGAGCTGTTCAGGTATGTATTAAATAGGATGCATGAGCTTGCCGCTGGTAGTAGCTCTCCAAAGTATAAGTTAAGGGGATCCTCCACATTCGGAATTGCACTCCGAGGCACTAATGACGTTCCGAATTATCGTGTAAGGTAGTTGTCTGGAGGATTTCCGAACATCTGAAAATCAAAGGTTCATTCACGAGAAGTGGTGGGGGAAACTGAGGTAAAAGTAGTGGGGAGAAAAACCATACCACTGGATAGGTTAGGTTACCTAGGCCTCACAACCATTATAAATTCCTGATTTTCATTAAAGGTAAATAATGAAATAGTTTTTCATATCCCTTGTTTATACTTTATAAACCATCTTCGAATATTTCTCTTAAATAGTCAAGTGGGCAACAAATAAAAAAAAAAAAAAGTGGAAACTTCAAAATTTACATGTAAATTTTAACTTACAATTTAAAAGTAAAAAAATTAATCTTTAACTGTTATGTTTATTTGTCAGTTCTTTTCCTATTTTCCTCAAACATTTTTTTATTATTTTCGCAATACTTTTCCTTAATTTTTGTAAGTATTAGACTTATGTTTTACTAACTTTAATCAAAATTATTTTCTGTGAGACTAACCTTACCTATGCCTCATTTTAAGTAAATAATTTCATAACAGCAAATAGTTGTTTATATCGTTATTTTATATTTTTATAAACCATTTTCAACTATTTTTTCTTTAAATATTCAAATGGGCAATAAATTGAAAAAAGTGGAATTTCCAAAATTTACTTTTAGAAAAGAAAAAAAATTAACTTTTGTGTTTATTTGTCATTAATTTAACCTTTTTTCTTAACAAATTGATTATTTGTTTAGCAATACTTTTCCTAAATTTTTGTAAGTAGTTGACTTATATTTTTCTAACTTTGGTCTAAACGATTTTCAGGCATTAGAAAGTAATTATTATATCTCCATTTTTCTCTTGATGACCAATGATATAAAGGACAATGTCCAAATAAACTCATCTATGCTGTTTATTTGTTTATAACTGAGCTAAATTGGTGTTAGCAATGATAAGTAATGATCAGTAATGGTTGAACGTGTAACGTGTGTGGTTGAAGGGTCTTCATGATCAAAGCGATCCCGAGCAATCTTTGCCATTCTTTTGACGTTCATTCTCGTATGATGGTGTATGGGTCACGAGTATGATTTAAGGTCACGGAGCCTAATCCGCAAGAAATAAGCAATGTTATTTCATAATAAATTTAACTATTAAAATAAATGTATAAATTCAAAACTAGAGTGGGTATATTCCACTCCAGGGATGTTGACATTGGAATAATTTTGAATGAATATTCGACTGACGGTTTTCCTAATAATCCTCTATTCTATCTTAAGACGTTTCTTTCCAGTGAGCTGAATGTAACTCTATAGCATCTAGAACTACTATTGAGGCATTCATTGTTGTGTAGATGCTTCTTAATGAATTGTTCTGAGTTACACGCCTCCCCATCTTAACCTCCTTGCCTTCACATCATGAAATATCGACTGACTAGTTTCCATAAGCATTTATTTATTGGTCCTTCACATCCTTCCGGTGGTCGTGAGTAGGATTTTTTTTCTGAAATCTTTCAATTCTTTAACGGGCTTTGTAATAGCATTATATCCCTTTAATGTGAGATTTTTAGGGATTTCAATATTTTTATACTAGCAAGTATAGGCGGTATACCAGGCATAACCTAGTTATGTTATTTTACAGGTTCTGTTTCGGTTCGAGGTACATAGCATAGGACAATCCAACTAATCAATATGAAACAAATCAGGCATCGAATCGAATGAGAGAAAATTAACTTTCGTTTTAACTTCCTCCTCTCCTCAACACTAGTTTTAAGCACACATTTCGCAAGGATTCCGAAAAACTCATTAGTTGTTTGATAAGATAGCTACGATGAGTAGTCTTGTCATAATAATCATAATTTCGTTCTCATTAGTAAGGCAAATCCCCAAATCAACATGAAATAGGTTTAATATATTTCTGTTATGGCAGGCGCTAGAATATAACATCTCTTTCATGTTGAGTTTTAAAATGTATTTTTGAAAAACTAATCATTACTCCCAAATTAAAAACTTTCTTTTCCGTGTATCATAATTTTTCGAACTTTTTCGGTCGCTCGTAAACTGGTGCTCTGGGCAAACGCCCAATCTGTACTTTGGTAAATCAAAGTCTGTTAGCAGTTATAGTTGCTACTGCTATTTTTATTTTTAAGTTCCAGTTATTGAATAATATAAAAGTTGTTCTTTTCTTTTTGGAATTATGTAGTAGTGTATAATTATAAAGTGATGGAGATATACATTCAAAATTATTCTTAATCAAAATAAAATATATATATATATATATATATATATATATATATATATATATATATATATATATATATATATATATATCCTTGAAAAGAAAATAATTTTGAAAAATTTAGTTGGAAGCCGGTGTAAACACTTTACATTAATTTGCATATATAATTTTGATGTTAAGCTGTTATCAACACGATGGACGATGGAATAAGCAACTATGTAGAAAGTATTAACTTGTGAAAATCAAGTGTAATAATTAAGATACATCTTCAAAAGGTACCAGCCTCAGTATTACTGGATTTACCAATATTCTAGTATTTGAAAATATTTCACGAACTATTTGAAACACAAATATTTAACTGAACTTTCAGCGACATTATTGTTAAAACAAACTTATTTTATTTTTCTTGATACCGATAGCAGATGTTAAATATTAAAAACAAGAAACAAAAATACTAGCATAGTGAATTAACCATTTATATATTTGCATATATATATATTCCATCCGAAAGATCCGCCTGTGGCTGTCGGTATCAAGAGAAATAAAATGAATAGTTTGTTTTTTCAATAATGTGGTTGTTAGTTAATTGTTTCCCATAGTTTGTGAAATGTCTAAATCCGGCTTAATAGTTGTACAATTTTTCAATTATTCATTCTATTTCTTCCATAGGTACTATTTTAATCTTCGATAAGTGAGATTTCTTTTCTTTTTGAGTTTCTTTATTGTCATATATACTCATTTTGCTATTTATATATCCATATATTCAAGAAGATGATTACAGTTACGCAATGCATGATAAATTGCTAATTTTTGGCTGTTTTTTTTTTTTTTTTTTCAAAATAATATAAACAAAATATTATTTCGGTTCCTCAACAGTTGTCTGCATGTATTTCAGTAGTTCGGTCCTTACATGATATGTAATTATATTTTGACAATGACAAAGCAGCACTGACTAATAAGTTAATTACGTTAGTGAGAAATATGTACCTGGTATGGAAATTTCTCTATTGGTACTTCAACTCCACCAACGATTTTGAGTAATGATTTTCCATTTTCATTGCATTCAGCAACTCTTACATCTGCAAAAAATAGATTTATTTTGTATTCCAACTTTTATCACACACTACTCAAGTGAATGTAACAATTTAACATTTCTTATTATCTAATCTCTATAGTTATTTAACCTACTCTGGCCTAGAATATACACTACTGAATAAAGAACTATGAACCTGTGCATGATCAACTTGCACATTGTTAGAGCGGTACTTGTACAATTTATCTATATCAGTACGATAACGTAGATAAGATCTCTTTACCCGATGAGTAATTGTTGTTCTAACAATACCTGCCATTTTTATTTTTATACTAATAGAGTTAGTGGTGGTAAATAAGTGTCGCACCACTCGACAGGTACTTCGAATTGATAATTATCAAAAGAACTTGTTCCTCCTTAAGATTTTTAAGAGCTTACCGGAAATCGCAAACTTCTTGAATACTGACAACGCCCATGGGCTGCCAATTCTCTTCTCGGAAAGGTATTTATTATTTTTAACATGAAATAAAATTGTTTTAATTTTTTTTAATTCGAAGTTTGAAATTAATTTCTATGGGCGCGATCTAACTGGTCTTGCTCATGTGTCAGCTTCAGCTGTTTTGACAGTTCAAAACACTGGTTGATTTAAGAGGGATGGAACTCTCTAAGGGAGAGGTTACGTTTATTTGTTGTTTCATGTTTTCTTATTTTTTAAGTTTTAATATATTTTATCCTATACATTTTTCACTCTGAGGAGTAGATGGTGTATAAATCAAACCGTGAGAGCCGAAACCGGCTTAATTTTTTTACTTATCAGTGATAAATGTATGTGTTGAAATGGAAGAAGTGTCCACAGAACAAGGCCCTTCAGAACTTCTTCTTCAGGGATCAAGGAATGGTGACATCAATTTAGTCAAGGAGATTTTGGAAGCATCAAAAGAAGGAAAAGTGACAGTTGATGTAAATTGTAAAGGTAACATATTATTTTGTGTTATCCTCCCTTCTACTCCTTAAGTTTATGTTGTTTAATAATTACAATTTAAATTTAATGTGTTTTTTTTTTAATAATGGTTTTACTTTGCCTTTATAGAACTAAACATTTTAAAATCTGTATCTCAAGTTAAATCATAGATACTGTTTCTGTAGCATATATATTATTCAGGATTGTATTGTCAATATGTTTAGGTAAAAGTAAATCAAATCTTGGATGGACACCCTTGCATTTGGCTACCTATTTTGGCCACAAAGAAGTTATTGAACTATTAATTGAAGCAGGAGCAGATATAAATGCTGTCAATGATGCAGGGGATACTGCTCTTCATAAAGCATCATTTATTGGACGAGAGGTATGAGGTGGTTAATATTATTTGTTATTTTTGTAACAATATGGTTATTCTTAACCGACAGTTTATGGTTTAGTTTTAATAGAAAGAGATACTTTTAATCATGTTTAGACTTTTTCTATGGATACAAAGTTGTTCAAAGCATTTAATTTATTTGCTAAGAATGAAATTAATATTTGTTTATATTGGCTTAAATTGAATAATAGTCATCAACCATTTTCATATTTGATAATTATTATTCCTATGATTTATAAGTTATATAAAATAAGTATATTCTCTAACTAGCAATTGGATTATAATAAAAAAAAAAAACATTTTATGCTTGTTACAACAGCTGATGTACCTAGTCCTGTCATAAATATTGTTACAAGGAAATATATACAGATTTCAACAGAAAAATTAATTTTTTCAAAAACTTTATTAGAAAATAAAAACTATATCTATATAGAGTAAAACAGAACAGAAATTGCTCAAAATGTCACAGGCACATGCATTTAATCTACGTAGCCAGTCATCAATAGCAGCACGCAGCACTTCTTAAGGAAAGCACTCAACTGCTCGGAGCAGAGATTGTTTGAGGTTTCCAAGTTAGGGTGTGCTCTGTGGCATGTCATCCTCTCCAGTTCGCATCAAAGCCGATAATCTAGTGGGTTGAGATCAGGGCTTCCTGTAGCCAATCCGAGGCAGAGATGAACTCTGGAATATTCTTTTGCAGCCACTGCTACTGCTGAGTTGACCTGGTCTTGTGAGTTGGAGCAGAATCCTGCTGGAAAACCCAATGACTTCCAGCAAATAATTAAATTTTTCTTAAATTGTAAACATTTTCTCATCGTTAAACAAAATTTTTCGATAAAGACTATTGGTGTAATGGAGAAGGAGCACTTTGGATCTATCCTTTCTAATTTTGTTTAGGGAAGTAGTTAGTCTTTGCCCTGTCATTTTTCATAATGCACCCACACTAAGATCACTTTTTATGATGCGAGACATTGGTCTGACAGAGATTCCCATTTCCCGAGACATGATTTGTTGTTTTCGAATGGGATTTCTTCTGATTTGAGCAGCTACTGCTCTCACTGCATTTGCTGGTCAAGGTCTGTCACATACAGATAGGGTCTCATTGTATCTATTTATAGTGTGGTACATGAACACACGGCTGTTACCCGTAACAAAGGTTTCAAAGTGTTGAAAATCTCTGACCTATATTTTCCAACTTTGTGTAAGGCGATCACAGCTATTTGGTTTTCTTTATCACTCCATTTCATGTTAACTGATTGAAAGAAAAATACAAACTAATTGGGATTATTATCCTGACATATAAAGAAAATAAGCTGATACAGGTAAGGATTACCTAAATAATACCCAAGGATGTAAACAAAGTTCAACTTTTGTAACAGTATTTATGTCAGAATTAAATATATTACATTGAGTCTTTTATTGTTTTGTATTCAAACACATAAAAAAACTGGTTTTTGATAAGTCGTTTGGTTTTCTTGGAAATGATTTAATCTTGATTCTAATTTTTATTTCAAATGTTTTAATGTTTATTTTTATTTATATAAGTTGAATCAAGCCGTTTTCTTTGGAAAATTCCTGTAATAGTGAGGTATATATTTATTATTTTGGATGATAAATAGTCAAAACGCAGTCATTTTAAGATTTTTGTTGGTGCCGACGTTTAAACCCAAGCATGTGGGTCATCATCGGGCGTGTTTCGAGCATTGAAGGTGCTCAAATACATGCGTATTTGAACACCTTGTGTTGAAATGTCTGCACAAATAAAAACCTTAAAAATGACTGTGTCCTGACTATTTATCACCCATGATATGTAGAACAGTCGACTAACTTCCTTAAATATTTCTTATTTTGTGCATGTTAATGTTCTGTAGTCATTTCTGAAATGTTATTCCTTTTATTTTATTTTTTTTTTTTTTATGGTTGTTACATTCTCTTTTAGGACCTTGTGCTTCTTTTGGTGGAAAAGAATGCTGATGTAAATATTCGCAATGGGGAAGGTCGTACAGCTAAGGAAGTGGGTGTAGAAGGCTGTGATGCAGTAAAATTATTGGCTGCAGCAGAACGTACTGATCTTCGAAGAAAAGAAGAAGCTCTACTTTCTGCCGCTCGAAATGGTGATCTGACTGCCATCAATACAATTGTAATTGATATTTTCATATTTTACAGAATAATATTTTTAATTAAAAATGTTTTTATTTTTATTACTCTAAGGAGTGTATAGGTAGTTAGATTTTCAATAACTTAATATCCAGTAATTTCGATAACTCACGACTCTATTAATATTTCTTATTTTTGAGGCGTATTTTCTAAATGTTATAATTGACTTTATTACTATTGTATTATGATGATTCGAATAAGGAGTCCTCAACTTATAAAGAACTCTAGCAACTTCTAATATGTTTCTGCCTTTTTTTTACAACTTGTTTTGATAATGGTATTAGTCCATAAAATATGTTCTTGTTCGTTTTTTTAGTGAAATGTTTTGCAACTAAGTACACTTTAAATAGAGCTTAACTTTGGAGTTTATATTTGTGAATTTTGATCATATTTATCATTCCAAAAATTCATCAAGTGTATCAAAGTAACACAAACCCCACATTTCTAAAATATTACTTAATGGATTTTTGCATTAAACAAACAATATATTTTCTGAATGAGATTGTGGTAAAATTTTGAGTCTGTGGTTTTCTGTTATCTGTGCAACTCTCTCAGAAATGCTGTTTTATCTTTAGATTAGAATATGGACCGGGGAGTCCTTAATGTCTAATATACCAAATTTTCATATTAAATCAGTGAATATGATTTTTGTTTGTACAAAAAAAAAAAATTCATTGGCATTATTGGTGTGCACATACTTGGGATAATCTGTCTAAACCTGTGTTATACACAAATGAAAAATGAATTAAAAACCAAATTAACCCATTTTCATATCAATATTTGACTGTTGTGTTATGATTAAATGGTTGAATTTTTAATCAGATTTTATAGTATCATATTGCTATCATTTCACCTTCTTAAGGTTTTTGAAAATAAAGTAATGCGTAGAATATTTGGACCGAAGAAGGATGAATGAACCAGAGAGTTCAAGTATTTGCTGTACTGAACGGTAAACATCCAAGGGGTAGACTGAAGATAAGGTGGAAAGATTGTGTTAAAGCCGATCTGAAGGGACTGGGTTTGGACCGCGAATGTTGGAGGATGGTGTGTAATAAGTGATTGGTGGTGTCAGCATTGAGCCTTCGGGTTGGCTAAGGCTTTTATTATTATTATATTGCTATCATTTCAGAAAAAAATATTTTGATAAGGAATCTATGATTTATCAATTATCTTTGTATAATATATATATTTTTTCTAATTTAAGTTGATAATGACCTGGTTTATTTTCTAACACATAACCAATATAAACAATGTTTTGTTTAAAGCTTAAATGGGAGAGGCCACCCAACATCAATTGTACCGACAGCATGGGTAACACTGCCTTGCATTGTGCTTCATACCGAGGCCATAAAGAGGCTGCAGTTCTCTTACTTCAAAATGGCATAAACTCTACCATCAAGAACAACAGAGGTGAAGATTTAAAAATATATATATATTTAATCATTTAAATTGTTTGATGATTATTTTTTCAGATATTTGGTTCAAGACACTAAGTTTCAGATGATCTTAGACTGAAACAATAATTATCATGGATTTAATATCCTGATGGCAGTTATTTTTTTTTTATTTGCTAAGGTTTCATAATTTTTTCAGCTCTGATTGATTTTCACAATTTATTTCTGACATTTTTGCCCATCTTTACCTTATTTTAGAATTATTGATTTCATTAATTTTTAGTTATATGTTTATAAATATAAAAGCATCATTGAGGCTACGATTAAGTGTGCTATAGTTTACTAATTGTAGAAGCTGATACTTCAAGTGCTTAGCATTTTAAGTAGGTATATATCACTTTAAATCAATATCAAACTATACCATTAATATATTATCATTTAGATGCAGATTTGTTAAATTAAAATCCGTCTACAATGAATAAACAATTGTTTCTGTATTTGATTAACACTTTTATATGAAAGCACTATCTATTTATTTGATTTCTTGTTGCGAATGATTGATTGCTTGTGTCATTAATCGTAAAATAAAATATTTTATTGTCATTAATTCTTGTATTTTAAGAAACATATTACATAAATGACAAACAGTTTGATCAGCAAGAACAAAGAATTAAAACAAGATAAAATTATTTTTGTTGCTTTCGGAAAAATGTTTTTATAATAAACGTTCTAATTGTGGCAAGTTAAGAGTTAATTAACCAAATAAGCAATTATTTCTGGTATAATCTTACAAAATATTCTCACCAATAGAGTAATTCTTTAGGAAAGAGTTGGTCAGGAGTGCAGTAAATATATAATACTATATATTATAATAGTATTTTCTGATGTTTCAACCTACGTTGTAGGTCTTCATCAGGACTACCAACGATACAAACTATAAATATTGATTGATACTTACATTGCAACTCATTAATATTTATAACCCAATTCATATTTATAGTTTGTATCTTTTGTAGCCCTAATGAAGACCTATTTTAATAAATAGTATTATATATTGACCGCATCTCCGACACTAACTCCTTCTTAAATTATAATCATGGTCAACCATCTCAACACCACTGTGTAATACTTTAATTTGGATGCAAAGATAAGTCTGAGGTCTCGTAAAAATTGGCATAAATGTTTTTTATCATTCGATAAAAGATGTATAGTTACAGTAAATGTTTCTTCGAACACTGCTGATATTAGGTAGAGAGGTATCATCAGCTATTTACAACTGCATAGCATAATATTGATGAAATTTCGAATGTGCTTCTTAAATGAACTTGGTGATGAATTAACTGATTCCACTTTTACATTTTCATGATTCATTGTTGGTCATGATTTTATTTTTTCAATCAAAACCAGTATTTGTTCCAGATTGTATCTGCTATCTCTAAATATTATATTTTTATTGTAGGCCAGACTGCAACTGATCTCGCCAAGGATTCTCAGATGAGCCAAGTGTTATGTGTTCGTCCTGTAAGACAATTACAAAAAACTGTTAATAGATTTGAAGGACAGCTTTTAAAACGATCAAGGTTTCTGGGTTGGAAACCAGCTTGGGTAAATCAATTGTGTTATACATAGTTTCATACTTTATTTTTATTTGTTAGTGATTTTACATTATGATAACATTTTTTGTTGGGTGGTGCCTTGTATACAGTTAATAATATAAATATGCAGTTGAAATATTTTGTGGTCATTTAATTAAAATCTTTATAAAAGTAAGAGGATAATACCAGTATATTAATATTTTATTAAAAATTTTTAGTTGGAAAGATGATTAGTGACAAAGGATTCATTGCTCTCAAGCCATTTCTTTGTTATGCTTATTATTTATTTTCATCTCATTTATTTTTTATTTATTTATTTGTTTGAGTGTTTCGACCACTGGGGTAATTTATACTGAAGGCTCTTTAGTCACTTGAAGTTTTTTTTTTTTTTAATTTTATTATAAATGTCGATAGTTTCTAGGAAGTTAATAAGTCGTGAAGTCGTGTCTGGGTCCTATCTCAATTTTTGTGGTGGGTCTGTGGAAAATCTGTAAGAGCCGTAAGCCATACACTCCGTTAGTATGTGAAACACTGTTAGAGTACACCTGAAGTAGAAACAGGTTGGTGGTTCTTCCTTCTTCATCCAATATCCATAGGTAAGTCGACAATAGTCAATCCTGAGGCGGATAAGAACTACCTCTTTTCTCTGAGGTAGCTGTAGACTTTTTCTTGGATGTTTAACATATTGTTCGATTTTTCTTAATTTATTTCCTCTCATGCCAAACCATTGATTTCACTACTCCAGCCATCCTTTTTCATTGATCCAAGATATTAGATCGTTGCGATTACTTATTGAAAATACTTGACCATTTTTTTTTTTTGCTCGTTTTACCTGTGTGTTTGCATTTTCATTTCTAGGAATTCCACTGTGACCATGTAGCCATAAAAACAATACTCTACAACCAGCGTCTTTCAATGTTTTTAATTGTATTTTTAGTTTTGGAATTGGTATTTTTAGTAAAATTAGAATTATTTAGTTTTTAGTCATGCAAAAAATTTTAAATTTGAGTTTTAATAATATTCTTGAATAGATATTTTATTTTCTTGTTTGTTTTTTCCTATACAGGCAGTTCTTGAGAGAGGAGTTTTAACTTACTTTACAACCCGTGCAGATGCAACCTCAGGTGTAAAAAGAAGAGACTTCAAGTATTTAGATGGTGCAAGAGCTGAGCCAATAGATTTAGCACCGTCTGCATTCCATGTTCATTTCTCTGATGGCACAACTCATAGACTTTCTGCACCCATTTCTTCTGAGGACCCTACTGGTCAACTTGCTAGGCAGGTATGTTAGTGATTGTTTTAAAGTACAATCAAGACTTATAGATTGAATTGAGTGCCAACTGTTTTTCAATCTTGGTGTTTTAGTCTCAGTATGTTTGCATTATATCATTTTGCTTGTTCAAATTTTTGTTTTGTTTTTTATTTCTTAAACATCATTAATTATTTTCAAAAACTTTTCAGTCTTTTCCTTTCTTATTTCTGAATTTATCAATATTGAAATACTCACATCTCTGGTCATTTTTAATTTCTTGTTTGACCATTAAATTATTAGACCTACTCCAAAAAATGTATCACCATGAAGCATCCATCAATTTGCTTTTCTTTGATCAGTTTTATTGCTATTTGAGTTAAATTTTAATTGGCTTCAATTTTTCGAAAATTTCTACGTAAAACGAAAGACTTTAATTATTTCAATTATAATGATTTTCTCAAGATAAAGCAAAGTTAAAGAATCCTAAAGAATAGGAAAGAAAAAAAAAAACTTCACAAATGGTGTTAGATATATTTCTTTTTGTTGGCAGAGAAATTGTTCAGGAGAAGTTGGTTAGGAATTTAGCACAAAAACATTTTGAGTTTTGTGCCAACAAACTCTGATTTTCGCAGCAGCATTAGTTTTTTGTACCAAAGAAAAAAATTATTATTATTTTATTTGTTCCAAATAAAAGTGTTATATGGCACAAATAAAATAAATATAATTTATTTGTATGTACTTCAAATTACTGCAATACCCAACCAACTTCACTTATACTTATTTTTGTACTTGAACTTCTCAATTGTTTTATTTTAATTGTTATCTGTAATGATAATATCTACTGTATACCAAGTGTGTAAATACGAAATTGGAATTCTTCCATAGATGGGTCTAGTTGTTACTGATGCCATATTGTTTCTTTGACACCTGGCAAAAATGTTCAACTTACTACAAATGTCCTCAACTTTTCATATAATAGAACCAATTTAATAATATTTAACATTTTGAGTTTTTTGCCTACAAACTCCGATTTGCGAACAACATTAGTTTTCTGTACCAAAGAAAACTGCTGCAGAATCGCATTGTATGCTTGTCAAATCTTCTGATAAGCTTCTTATCATAGTAAACCATATCCTTCTTCTTATGATAGTAAATCATAGTGCTTTAAAACATTTAAAAGTGGCAATTTTTATGTGAAAAATGGAATATGAAAGACCATAGAAAAAGTTTGAAGTCAGTTAATTGCTAGCACTGTTGGGTGAGGATGATGCTCATACATACTGAATAACAACTCATGGATCGATTTAATGTAACTTCAAAAATGGGTTCAACATGAACTGAATGAAAGACAGAAAGAAAACTGGGAAACCACCTCTGCAATGTTCCTCATCAGATACAAAAAAATGTCACTTCTCCATTGTACGCTATTGACTGAATTAATGACCAGAATATCAAAAAAGACAATACTGGTGGCCAATATTTTGAATAAAATATTTTTTAACATTTGTATGCATACAGTTTATTTTCTATTCAAAATTTCCAATTTAATATTTACACAACTGGTAGTACAGTACCAAGTGCTTTGTTTTTAACACGTTTATGTTAACTAAGGTGGAAGTGGAATATGTGTATTTTACTTTTACTTTTAATTAATTATTTCAATAAAGTCAGCATCTATTGTAATTTCCTTATGTCTCATTGTTCAGTTCAATGTTTTAGAAGTGGCTGAGTGCTCTAAATGACCATATTGCTTTTAACACCCACTATATGAACCAGGGAAGGGTATCTGCTGATAGTGATGATGAGGATTCACACATTAAACCACTGGGTTCTATGCAGGTAATTGAAATTAGAAATTCTTTCTTTACTCTAACTAAAATTTTTTTTAGGACATTTCCAATTCAGAATCTCTACAAAAAAATAAGTTCTAGAATATTGGTTTACTTGCTAATACCTTTTTTTTGTGGCTACTCAACTTCCTTGCCGTTAAGGCTATACAGGATTTCTCCGGGCCAGGAAGTGTGCGTGGAGATTTAAAAGACTCCCTGTACCAGGATGCGTGAATATTTTTTATTATTTTGTCTCATGTATCAGGTTGCGGGGCAACGGTGGTGCTGTGCACATGCATTAGCCGTTTGGTCACCAAATTGGTCTGTATACTGGATAGGGATAGAAGACACTTTAATTTTTCTGATTTCTTCAATATATAGGTTCATAAATGTTGTTAAAGGCAACTTTGGAAATACTATTATTAAACTATAACTAATTTTTTAAATAATATTATGTTATTGCTATGAAAATTAATAATAATATTTCATACTTTTAATGTTAACTCTTATAAACGTCTAGTTTTCAAACATTGTTCATTGTCTTAATTACCTATTCATAAAATTGTTTAGGTAAAACTTTTTCCATAAAAAAGATTTATAATAAAGTATAAATTGTTTTTATAACTATAACCATTTTTAGGTTCTTGAAATCTGTGTCATTCTGACAGGGATAGAATAATTTAACAATACATGCTTCTTTGAAAATAATTATCACCATTTCAAACAACTTCTAACATGATAAAAATATTTATACTCACCAATATATACATTAAAACATCTTCAATTCTAATTTGTTTCCTAAAATTCCATTTCTTTTTGTGATAGTTCAAACAAATAATTCAAAGATTACATACATACATAGCTTAACAACATACTTAATTTGACTATAGTAGAAATAAGACTATTTTAGTTGCCAGAGGGAATTTTTCTACTAATGGCTTAACTGTTCTCAGGATCCTGTAGGCTGTGCTGAATTTTGGCTCAATTACCTTGTTGAATTGTTCTCTATAAAATTTGTCTACTAATCCTAACCTAAAATTATTTTAATTTGACAATTAGAAATGAAGTTTGAGACCAAAAAGTGAACAATGTTAATTGAATTATCATTTGTTTTCCATTGATATTTAGTGGAGCAAAATTATTTTATAAAAAATTTTAAAAACCAACATGAATCAGTAATAATATTTTTATTTTAATATTTCTTTATCGAGGATGGATTCTTAGTTATAGTATTCACAGTTATTTCTGTTCTTTTTGTTTTATTTGACTTAATACATTCCTACCAAAATGAAGTTTTAATGATATTGATTTATTCTTAATTTGACGATCAATATTTATTGAAACACCCAAAACAATGTCAATGATATAAAGCTCAGAGATGTATGCATTTATATTTAATTTTGGTCTTAGGTATGTGAATTAATCTTTTTTTTTTTTCTTTTGGATCTATGATGGTTTTTATAATTATCAATATTTAAAATTTCGATCATTACAGGATTCATTACAAACAGCTTCTGCACGATATCAGCTACTTGAGACAAGACTTCAAGAAATTAGCGGTATACTTGAATCTGGTGTAAATGATCCAGATACTGCAATTCCTCAAGCATTAAAAGTACTTGGACTTCATTTGGTATTCTTTATTGTTTTTTTTTTTTTAAGTTTTACTTACTTATTGTATTAATGTTTTAATCATGTGTTTTAATTTTATTTCTTTTTGCTAAGTATCTTGGAAAAAACTTGTGGTATCAAGCATATATTTGACTGTATATTTTTATTACTTTATTTTAACATGTATTCTTTATATTTTAATCCTTAACCTCCATGTAACGACATAGTCAGTATTATTGATTTTCTATTGAATATCATAACTGTCTGGGGAGCATATTGCAAAGGAGTAGGCAGAAGGGAAGGTGACAATTAATGCAAGGTTAGGGAAATTTCATCATCAATTCCTTTCAGAATGTTTCAGTGCTAACAACAGACCTTTTGTTATCAATCAATTGTTCAGAAATTTTTTGTTTCTATTTTATTTTAAATTTTTCCATATTAGAAGGGAGAAATCTACCCCTCTTATGGCCTCTTCTCTAAGCCCATGGTATGTTGTAATAGTAATGCTAACATTTGTGATGTATATACCATATTCAATAATATCGTTTCAAAAATATTGACCAAGTTGGGAGACAATAGCGTTTGTCTATCAGATATTGGACAAAAGTTTCATATACAATCGATTGTTACCTTAATATTGTTTGTTCACTGTGGGTTTACCATTTAGAAGGATAGTGTGGGAAAAAAAGTTATAAAAATAAAAGGCCCAATAAATCATTACTTTTCATAATGAATTATCCAATGTAATTCATTAAAAAGAAATTATCTATTATCTTATTGATAGCTTAATAGTAACACGTGGTAGTTGACTGTAATAGTAACTCAGGATAATTATTTAGTTGGGGGTCAGTAAAATTAATATATAATAAAAACCAGAATTTTATTTTTAATATTTGAGCTTTAAAATAATAAAAACTATTTTTATTTTATTAACTATTGGGTTGTATAGAAAATATTGCAGGATTTTGGTTTACAAAGAAAAAAAGAAAGGTTTACAACTGTTTTATTTAATCAAAATAGTCTCCACTACTATCAATACATTTCTGCCAATGAGTTGACCAGCTTTCCATTCCCTCAGAATAGAATTTCACATCTTTAGAATTGATAAACTCCAAAGACACATTTTCTATTTTCCTTTATCCATTAAATTTTTTGTCATGTAAGTAGTGATCCAGGTGTCTAAAAAAAATGATAATCCATAGCCAAGAGATTCTGAGAGTAGGGTGGATGTGGCAGATTTTTATATCCAAGATCCAATAGTTTTTGTAACATCACACGTGAGACATGTGGCCGGACATTGTCATGCAACAAAATGCCGATTTCTGATGCATTGCATTAATTTGGTTACAATACGATTTGGCATTGATGGTTTCTCCAGGATTTAAGAAGCTGTAGTGTATCAAACCAAATGAAGCCCACCAAGCAGTAATCATCACCTTTTTTTGATGAGTTGGAGGCTTCGGAACATGTTCCGCTGCTCCTCCTCTTCCTTTGTCGAGCCACTGTCCAGAACATCTATTGTTATCTTAAAGTATCCATTTTTCCTTACAAGTAACAATTCTGGACAGAAATGGGTCGTTTTTGTTTTGGCAAAGAAGTTTAGTACAAACTTCATAAAGCTAGTTTTTTTGGCAGTCGTTTAATGTGTGTGGTACCCAATTTTCAAGCTTTTTTACCTTTCCAATCACCTTAAGGTGTTCATCGACAGTCGATTTGCTAAGGTTAAGTTTATCTGCAAGTTTTCGAACAGTTGTTCTGGTGTTTTTTTCTTCCGAAGCTCGCATCAAGAGAGGAAGATCGTCATCATCATCAAGAAAGAAAGTCCTTCCATGACCTTTTTTGTTTTCAAGGCTGAAGTCTCCCTCCCGAAATTTTGTGAACCACCGTTAAACAGTGTACTCATTAATGCTGCTCTCGTCCCAGACTTGATTGATGTTTCTGGCCGTCTGGGCCCCATTCCGGACGAGTTTAAACTGGTAAAACAAAGTTATATGAAAATCATGCGTTGACATCTTAGTAAAGACTGAATTTTTTTTAAGCAGTGAAATACTACTGAGGTAAACAAACATTATCATTTGGAAGAGGATTAATAAGTGTTAACATTCATACAAATGAATTATCCAGTAAACGTAAACAGTTTGTTATATAGAGTGGTATTTCAAAGAAAACTCAAAACCCTGCATTATTTTCTGGACAACCCAATAGTAACAAAAATTCATCAATCCACAAAATAATACCTTGTACAGGTGAGGAAAAAATACATCGGTTCCTATCAGCTTTAGGCCATATAATATCGTAAGTCCTGTCATGTTGAAATTTATTTACCACCTAAAATATGTTTTTTTGTTATTAACTTGTAGTCGTCTTTCCCAATAAATTATCCAGAAATAATTATTTATCTCTTCTCCTTTATATTTTGTAAATTTAATGCTTCATTTTTAATCACAATTATTTTTTTTTATTTAGAGATTTGAAGAACTGACAGATACTGCCTCAAGTATGCTCCATTCTTTAGTCCATTCTCTGAACCTGATTAAACAGCAAGAAGAGGTAATAATTTTTGTATATCATCAGTTAACACAATTTTTTTTTTTTTTTTTATGACAGTTGTATTTGTTACCATCTGAGTGATATTTTTTTTTTTTTTGGTGATTATGTCATGATTTTGTTTTCCTCACTCTGTCTCTATAATACACACTAACATAATTGTTACTTATCCTCATAATGGTTTAATTTGGTTTTCACTATAATGAACTTTGTTATATATTTCATTAAAACATATTTTGTTTTACAATAGTATACGTAACATGATTAACCGCATTTGAAGTTGTTTAAAGAAAAAAAAAAAGAGATTTCATTGTTTTTATCAGTGAAGATTTGAAAATATGCATAAATTTGATTTGGAGATGGTTTTATACTTTTCTTTACCTTCCATATTGATCGTATTAATAATTATTAATATTGGTCATATTAACAACTAAAAAACTTGAAGAGTGCAAATTATTACTAAAATGAACATAAAGATCGAAAAGAGATATGAAGTGATTATGCTATAAATAGAAATATCCAAAATATAAAGTCTTGAGTCTGAATCTCTAACATGCAGGTGAAGAGGTAACCTATCAACGTTTCGCCAATTCAGGCATCATCAGGACAGAAAAAACAAGTTCATATATATGTAGAACGAAAAAAATAATAATTTTTTTTAACTCTCTCAAAGCCATACAAATACAAGTACAAGAGGTTTGTTTCAGTTAAAATTCTGCTGGTTCAACAGTTAAAATTGGACTCATTTGTAAAAAAAAAAAAAAATGTTTCAACACCTGATGTAAATATTTTAGTTAACATAATGTTTTTTTTCTTTTCATTTTTTCGTTATCTTTTAGTATTCTGGCTAGAAATACATTTTATTTTTCTGTAACTGCTGTTATTCTCAAGAGACATTGTCCCAGAATAAAGTTGTTTTTCAATTTCTATTTGTATGGCTTCATGAGATGTCAATAGCAAAATTTTGTTTGCTTATATGTGACTTTGTTTTTTTTTATCCTGTTGATGCCTGATTTGGGGAAACATTGGCAGATTAACTCTTCATTTGCATGTTAGAGACTCATTGCTTTATCATTTGGATTTCTCCTTTTATGCATACAAATTATCTTTAAAACCACTAAAGATTTATGAGATAAAACTATGGTGGCTCAGCCAAAATTTCATGTATGTATTTACATAATTTAGTCATAATAAAATAAATTAATTTCCTTCATTCCTTAAAGTCCAACTACTTAAAGCATTGTTTATTTACATTGTTTATCATAATATTTAGAGAATTCGCTTACTAAAAAGTATTTTGAAGATGGCAAAACTATTTTAATGTCATGTTGAAATGTATAGCTGTTTGTAGTTATATTACTTTTGATGTTATAATGTTGATGTTTAAATTAGGTGAGAGTTATACAATTAAAGCAAGAACAGGAGAAGTGCAGGGTTCTTGAAGAAGCATTGAATGTTCTGGCCAAGGAACACCATGAGCTGGAACAGTCAATGGCTTCACATTTATCCAGCAGTCCACCTGTCTCTCACCGTAGTAACTCCACTTCTTCTTGTGAGTTTTTTTTCACCTTGTAGTTCTTTTTTTTTTAATCAGCTTTGTTTTTTAATTTCAATTTTATACCTCTGTTAGTATTATATATTATTTTTATTTATAGCTAGCATCAGTCCTAGCTATGCACGATGTGTTGTTGTAACTTATATTTTTTTTTAGTGCCTGCTCGATCAACATTCTAATGCACCCACTTTTTTATTTGTACTGTTGATTAACATTATACTTTATTATAAATTGCTCAGTACTGCTAATATAATTTTGTGTGTGTATTTGAGTATTAATCATAGGTCAATGTCATCGTCATTTTTTTAAAAATTTAGAAAATTGCAAAACGCTAATGGTACTAGATTGAATGATATTTGAATTTAAGTTTAATTTGTCATATAATATAGAATATGTCTAATTTAGGTTTTGTTAAAAAATAAATTAAAAGTTATTGTTGGAAACGACAAATCTTAGCTATATTTCATCTACTTTCCTAGATTGCTAATCAGTACAAACTAAATTGATTAGGAGAAGGAGATGATTGGGGAGGGGGGATGTGCGGCCAAATAAATACTAAATTATAGAAATAGTATTATTTAATTATTATGCTGACGTTTCGATCCACCTTGCAGGTCTTCATCAGAGCTACAAAAGATACAAATTTTAAAAGGTACATGGTGAAAATAAAATAAATGAATTATAAGTAAATATTAAATAAGTATAAGTTGTCTGATAAAGAAATGATAAGATGATATCAGAGATATAGTTGGTGACTACATTCTCACCCACTATATCTCTGATATCATCTTATTATTTCTTTATCAGACAACTTTTTCTTATTCATTTACTTATTCATACAACTGCTTATAATTCATTTTTTTTATTTTCACCATGTACCTTTTAAAATTTGTATCTTTTGTAGCTCTGATGAAGACCTGCAAGGTGGGTCGAAACGTCAGCATAATAATTAAATAATACTATTTCTATAATTTAGTATTTATTTGACACCCCTCCCTCACTGATCAACTCCATCTCACATATTATATCATGGTCAACCATCTCTACATCATTATAAATTGATTAGGATTTCCAAAAAAGGGTTCATTCAGCTGTGAGGCCCTGTTAGAGATTTTTTTTTTTTTTTTTTTGTAAGAAAGTAGTCATAAAAGAGACAAATAAATCTTTGTTATGGAATAGATATTCATGTTTAATATTCATAATATTATTCAGTACTTTATTTTGCACGGTACTGTTTGGTTTTTTTAGGTTAAGTCTGTTGATGCTTGGCTTTTAGCAATGACTAAAAAAGTTATAGTTATCATTCTTTGAAGTTTGAATGGTGCATTTATTTTATACCTTTACCTAAGTACATTAAATGAATCAGCACATCTTTCTAGTTATCATAGAACTATTTAGCTAGGATTTATTGTACTTTTTATCTGTTGTTGTTTATGAAGTTTTAAATTTTATTCCAACATAATCTTTTGATATTTGTTATAGACATTGTTATAGACAAAGTGATTAATTTAGTTTCCTTTAGTTAAACTTGTTGCCATATTTTCCAGCTTCATTAGAAACAGCACACAATCCAGGCTGCATTTATAATTGAATGTTTATTAATGTTGGCATTGTGTACTGAATATATTTAGACAATAGTGAATTTGATTTAACACTAATTTGTCTGTTGTCACTTGAAACATTGAAATCTGTTTGATTCATTACAATTTAATGAATGACTGACTAAATATCTGTTTTCCTCTATGAAGTGCATTATTATTATTAGCATAAATTTGATGTCTTTAGAAATATGATGCTTCATTCAGTCAGAATGGATACTGAAGTATGTTTCTAACAGTTCTATTTTACTAATCACAAATAAGAACAGTAGAATAAAATTACAAAGCCTGGCAAATAACTTTCTTGCTATTGACTTCCAATATCTTCCTCAACTTAGTTGTTGAGGACTTCCCAGTGGACAAGATTTTGGTTTTTCTATCTGGCTGGGCAGATCCTCACCAGTCACGTTCAAATTTGTCCTTAGTGCAGTGCCTAATCGTTAGTCATTTGTTTGTTCACTTCAACTAGATGTAGCAGACAATCGAATTGATAATATTAGTCCTACACGAGGAGATCACAGTCAATGGGTTACCGATTTCAACCATATTTTTTTTGTGAACTACATAAAAAATTATTACTCACATGTTTCTGCGTTAATTTCAATGGACCTTAGAAGCTGAGAAAACAATTATTTTATATAATTTAACAACAAAATTTAACAGGTAGGGAACATGTGACCTATGTGAGCTAGCTGTGGCCCCTGTTAGTTGTTGCTGCCCTTCCAACCCATATTAATAACTTTTAGATTCCACTACTTTATTAGCTAGAGAAAAAAAAAACTTACAAAACATTTTTATTTTGTATCTTTGATTCTAATTTGTTAATGGAGGTTGGGTTTTTACCATTTCATGTAATATAGTTTGTACCATCTATTATACACTGACAGGCAAAAAATTCCACCCACTTGATTTTTTCATGTTTTCATCTAAAAATATTTCTACTTTGGATTGGTCTATTGTTTTTAATGAATAAATAGGTAATATTTTTGTTTGTTTTCAATTAGGAATGTTAATATAGAGGACAAAAACCCTTAATCCTTAATTCAATGAAATGATTCTAGATTCCAATGTTTACTTTCTATGGAATCAAAATGTTTATTCAGTATCATTAGTTCAGTGCCGTTTCTTGCAGTACATTTCTTAGTCTCCGGCTTTTAATTTTTTCAATATCAAGTTTAAAAATGCCTCTTAGTGCTGAGGATGTTGCACGTGGTGTGGCACTTATTGATGATGGACGTTCCATTAGATATGCAGCTAATGCCATCGGAGTTCCATATGAAACTTTACGAGACACCGTCAAGCATTTTCGGGAAACTGGTTCTTACAATAGAAGGCCAGAACTCAGAACTCAAGGTTCTGGATGGCCTAGGGTAATAGAACCACGGGATAACCGGTTTTTGACTTAACGATGATTTTACGAAAGAAGTTCAAGGTCTACAAATTTCTGAATGTACCGCTCGGAGAAAATTAAATGGCTTTAAATGGCTATGGATTAATGGCTTTTCGTCCAGTAAGAGGACCAGAACTCACAGAGTAACACGGCTGGCTTTTGCTCGAGAACACAGCCATTGGACTATGGATGAATGGAGTGCTGTACTTTTTACAGATAAGTCAAGATTCGCTCTTCGATCTCCAGACCGGCGTGAAAGGGTGTGGGGAAGAAGAAACGAACGATATGCAGCCTGTAATATTTCGCAGAGCCAACCTTTCCAACGTGGTTCCTTAATGGTGTAGGCTGGGATTTCAATGGAGCGCTGCACAGAATTGGTTGTCGTTCGTGGAGGGTCTTTGACGGCCATTCGCTATGTAGATGAGGTTTTGGAACCTCATGTGTTGCCTATCCTCAACGAAATCGGCGATCGTTCTATTCTAATGCATGATAATGCACTCCCACATGTCGCCCGCATAGTGTTGACGTTCCTTCAACAGAACAATATTGAGGTTTTAGCCTGGCCAGTACGTTCTCCAGATTTGAATCCCATTGAGCATTTATGGGATAACCTCGGAAGACAAATAAGAGCGCGTGCAACACTTCTTGATACACTGGAGGACCTTGAAAGGGCTCTTTGGGAGGAATGAGCTATCCTCCAGCAAAGGGACATTTCCCGACTGGTGGAAAGTATGTGGAGGCGTCTTCAAGAAGTAGTGAAGGCAAGAGGAGGAAACACGCGCTGCTAAGCGATGATGTAATTAATTTCTTTTAGAATAATAATGTTTCGTTTTTCAATTTTTTCTTCTAATCTTTGTTACCCAATCACATTTTGATTATTAAAGGTAAAAAAGATTATAAAATTCCATAAATACTAAGTATTATCTACAAATACCATGTATTATATACAAATACAACTTTTTTTACAAGTGGGTGGAATTTTTCGCCTGTCAGTGTATATAGCATTCTTAACCATATCTTCCTAGTCCATATTATGCAGTTCTTTTCTTTTTCTTCTTCTTGTGTGGCACTACGTTGTTCCGCGTGAAGACAAGGCATCTCACAACTTTGATCCCCAGTCATCTGGATGTTGTTCAGCGGCTGCTTCCAGTTTCGGACTCCAAGTATGGATCGGGCATCCGCAGCTACGCCATCCATCCACCGCATTCTTGGTGATAGTTCAGCATTCCGTATCATAAGTGAGTACCGGCCTTACCAATGTCTTATACAGGCGGATCTTAGTGGCTCAGGATACTACTCTGCTCTTGAAATGTCCAGTCAATCCATGGTAACACCTGTTTGCAGAGACAATCCGACGCTGAATCTCATGTGCAATATCATTTTGGGAGTTGACCTGCATGTGTGAGGCTTTTGGTGTGAGAAAAGCTGTCGTGACCAATATTTATTAACTAATTGGATGGTTGGGCCTGTTAAGGTCTCAACTTAGTAATTTGAGTCAAATGATGCCGTTTAAATCTGGCTTTGCTGTGTTGAAATTTATTTGGAAAATATCTTGACCTTCCCACTCTGTTTAGAATAGGTTGGTAATCTCTTGGATGAACGTTCTGAATGCCTAAAATATCCTCTAGGTAAAGAGAAAAAGAAAAAAAAAGTAAGCAATGAGTACCAGATCCACAAAAGCTTTTTATTAATAATGAACTACAGCCAAATCTGTTTGGTGTTACGCTGTTAGGTGATGTACAATCTCAAAAAGCTTCTAATAGGTAAGTGTGGAGTATAATAGAAAAACAATTCTATTGTTCTTAGTTTATGGCTACAATTAAAAAATGTTAGAAGAAATATTCTTCAATCAAAATATAATTTAGTTATATGCTAAATTATCAGATATAATAAATTTAGCTTACTACTGTCAAAGGTAATATAAATGTTTAATATTTTATCATTGATTGCTTTCTAAATAATGATTATGTGATGAACTGTTTTATTACTTTGAAATACATCTAAAAACGTTTTTAGTAAATATTTTCTTGTTACTGTAAACCTTTTTTCTCATTAAAGAATTATTTATTTTTAGCAATATATTTTGGTTACATTTGTTCTAGTTCGGAAACGCAATCCACGATACTACGATATATCTGATGATGAATTTTATGATGCCTTTGAAGCAGGTAAATGAAAATACTGTTCTGTTACATACATTAAATTTTGAATTTAAATTGATGTAATTATACAATTTGGCTATTATTTTTATGATAGTTTTAATTTAGCATTGACTTAACTATATTTTTAATAACCAAGAAAGCTTTTTTAGAAAACAATTGTATGGGTTGGCGTATTAAAGCAATTTTATCTAGATAATAAATTGTAATGAATATATCAATATATATTATTAACAAAATTTAACAAAATATCATATATATATTATTTTTTTGTTCTCCCCTACCTTGCTTTTTAGGTCTTTTTTTCCTGGGCGAGGGAGTGAAGGGGGGAATTTATGCCAGAATATATTAGGGTACTGTGTGTTACCTCTTATGATTACTTTTTGGATTACTGTTGAAGAATATCTCCTCACAAATCTTGGAATAAGTGGCTGTAATACTTCCTGTTCATTGTAAAATTTTATTGAATTGCCATCTTTTAAGAAATAACTTGTTATCTCCAAGAATAATTTTTTTTATAAATTAAAACTTTTTTTCTAAAGAAATTAATTCAAATGTTCTGTAAATGTGCCTAAGTAAGAGATGGGCAAAATCAGAATAAATGATTACATGATAAAAACTGGAAATAAAACTTCATGTCCATGCCGATTTTATACTTGATTCAATAGAATAAAATAGAAAATCATCTTTATTCTGGGACTAGGTCCCTTAAGAATAACAATATTGTTCATATAAATTAACAATAAATCTGGCCAAAAGACCTATTAGTATAAAGAATAACTAAAATACAAGTAATAAAATAAGTATATACACAGCTCTTAGGATATATTAATGAAAACAGTTGGGTAATAGGGTTGCAATACTACAATATTGGAGCTAAAACAATAACATAATAATCACTAAATGAAATTAGAAAAGAACATTAAATAAATTTTATAGGCAAAGCATTGTAGTGATGGAATATGAAAAAAAAAAAAACTACTGTAAATAAATGATTTAAATATGTTCCTTAAGATGTTTAAGTGAATAGTACTATACCTAAATATAGCAGAAATGTGATACAATTACCTGATTAAATTCTTTTTTAAGTTTCCGATTACTATTGTAATCGTTTAATCATGTATTCAAAATTACTATCATCTTAATAATAATTACTGTAATCTTAATCGTTGATTATGATTATGCTCATCTACGACCTAAATAATTTATTATTTATCACTACCTCCATAATAATCCAATACCCTTATTTTCTCTAGCAATTTATTAAGGATATGAATTTTTATGAGGTCATTATTTAAAAATAAAATTATATGAATCAGCATTATATAATTAAAATTATAAACTCATTTTTTTTCTTTTTAGTAATAGTTTATTTACTTATTTGCAATGCATGATGCGGGTCTAGAAATAGTTTTGGTTCTGTAATATTATATAAAAATTTTAGTTCTATTTAGTATCCATACATTTTTAAAGCATATTAGATTTTTTAAGCTGCTTATAAAATTTGCAGTTTTTCAGTTGTGACAGTTTCATTTTTTCTTAACTGTTATTAAACCCATTACTGTTAATGTGCTAAATACTAATACAATATAATATAGCATGGCTATAAGCTCAACTAGAAATTTAGCCTGTATTTTACATTCAATTTTTGTCTATATTTTTTATAATAGTTACTAGAATAGAAATGGTTGAATGTGCTAAAGAAACTATGGCTGTTCAAAATTGGTTTCAGATCCTATGCAGTGGGTTCGTTCCATTTGGAATTAATATAAATTATGTATAATTATGGATAAGTTAGGTATTAGATTTGATATGTTGGTGTAACATGATTATTCAGTTAACCTTATATGCTATAAATTACTTCAAGGATGATAATAACTATAATCTTGACAAGAATATTGTATAATTGACTAAAAATAATGCATTGGTCTTTCTTATTACTTCTGAGCACAAATTGTTAACTTTTATTAATGCAAATATATAAAGTTAATAAGAAGCAATAAATAAAAGTTATTTTAAGCCAGACAATTAATACAAGCTATTTTATTCATTAAGATTTTATTAATTTTACTCAAAAAACTAATAAGTCATTGATGACAACAAAGTTGTAATGCTATAAAGTATATTGCAATATTTTATAAATAACTTGGTGACAGTAGTGGTCTTTAAATTTTCTAGTTCTTCATTTCTATATCTATCCATTTTTAAACATTTGCTGTTTAAAAGTGAAAAAATCGGGCTTAAAATGACTAAGTAATCATATTAGAGGGAAAGGAGAAGAGACAGAGAAAAATATAGAAAGTAAAAGCTATGAATTGTTTTTTAAAGTTAAAACTTTAACTTACTACAGAAGGGAATTCCAAAAGGGAGTTGAGCGGGCAAGAAAGGAATATTCAAACATTTCTGTTCTGTTGGAAGAGGTATAGAGGTCAGAAACACAGGGTTTTGTTCTCTGTGAGTGGATCAAGGGTTTGGATTAAGGAGATTCGACGTAGGAAGAATACTGAAAATTAATAGTTTGCTCTTAGACAGATCTGAGGAAATATTATCTATGCTAGGAGGAGAAGAGCCACTTTAATTCACCATAAAGGTCGAGGACGGTCTTCAGGTTCCAAGGACAAATTTTATGAAGAAGTTCATGATATGCTTTAATCTATCCTCAAGTACAATCGAGAGTTCACTGCAAGCAAGACAGCTGTTGTAAAAGTTGAAGAAAATAAGTGATGATTTAGGGGCCTGCATGTTGGCAGTGGAAGATGATTTACAGTTTACTCAAGCATAGTTATAAACTTGTATATTTTGAAGCAGCATAGCTGTTCTTCTTGTTCATTTTCAGGATGTTAAATTACTTTTGATTTAGTTCCTGGAAATTGTGAGGTTACGTAATTAACTTATAGTTCGAAATCCAATAAATGAAGGTTGTATTTTTTTGGAGGGAGGGAGATGGAGAGAGGCATTTTAACTCTTCCTTTTCTTTAGATTGAATAAATAAAGATAAGAATAAATATATTTGTTTTTCACCTGTTTATAATTGTCAGCGAAAAAAAAAAAATTGTCTACAAAATGAAATTGTTTGAAAGTAAAATTAATTCTATATTAAAATATTTCATAATTTTGAGATAAAAAACATGGATTATTTGTGTAAAATAGGTGCTATATATATTTATTATGTATCATCCTCAAATTCAAACAAGAAACATAATTTCCTATGATGCAATTCAAAAGTAGGACTCAATATATCCCTTATATCGAGAGGTTGATTTGGAAATGGACATTCTTAATGCTATAAATAATTAGAAGATAGATTTACCGCTTTTGGCCTGAATAGCATTGTATTGTTATTCAGGGTCTGATGATGATACTTTGGTGACAGCTGGCTCAGATAGTGATACCCTCGTATGTGTCCCTTCACCAACATCTTCAATCGCCACCCTTGCTTCTCTTCACTCCTTCCGGTCTGCAATCGAGTTTGATGATGTCAGATTCTCAAGGAACAGGTATGTAATAATTTAAGTTTTCTATGGCATGGTACTATTGGACATTGCTTATGTTTGATGTTTTGCATCTAAACAATCTTTTCCCCTGCATTTGTATGTGTAGTTTAATTGCATTTTACTGTAAATATGATTTCATCACAAAGTAAAAAACGTCCAATTTTTCTTAAAATAATATTTTTTATTTGTTTTTAGGAAACATATATAATCTTTATATAAACTTTCTGTAATAAAAAATTTCATCAATAAAAATAAGTTTGTCATTGTTTTATTTATTCGATAGACTTTAACAGGTCTACTACAACTATAAACCAGTATATTTTTAAAAAACGTTAACGATTCCTAAAAAATAAAAATTAAATAATAATCTCATAGAATTAATTATATTTAAAAGTTTTGTTGATTTCTACACAAGATAAAAAAAATACTAAGTGAAATTATGTATTAAAAATACAAACAATCATGTTATTACATACATGTATATACTGATTATAATATCTGGCTAGTAATTTTTTAATATTGTTTAAAGATGTTGCCAGATTTACGTTTTGAATTCATTAAGTGATTTTGTATTTTTTTAATATTTAATTTCATCTCTTACTTTTTAAAATTCTCTTTAATCTCTGAATCAAATGCTTAGCTGTGGCCTTTAGTGTGGGAGTTAGGAATTTTACTTGGAAATTAATATGAAAAATCCTTTCCTCTCAAAAGTAAGTAATTATACCAAGAATTACCAATGTTTTTATTTAATTATTTGATAGTGGTAAAGTCACTATTAAGGGTTATGTTTCTCTCCTTTTTCCTAATTTTTAGATCTCAATTACAATGATAATCATCAATAATTACAAATATTTTTATATAATTCAGATAATATCCAAATATATAGAATAAATAACGAGTTTTGTTGTGTGCACTGACTCCTTGTGACATTTACTAAATGTAATGTATTGTATTAAATTATTAACATAGGAAATGAATGCATGTGAGGTTTTAAATACTTTTAAATGAATATGGTGCCATGCACTGAAAGCTCCTGAGTTTTATAAAATAAAATGTTGTGAGATTATTTGAAGTGCAATAGTTTAAATTAATAGTTCTTCATGTCGCTTAACTTGAGTAGAAGACAAATATGTATTAATTACATTTATTATTGAGAAAATTACTATTTTTTAGGAATTTCAACATTATTTAAAAGTTTCTAGATTTCTTATAGTATGTTCAAATGATGGTTTTTAGGAAAAACCTGATCGTTTTATATTTTATTTATATTTTTTGATAAAAAAAAATGTAACTTACAACTTTCGGTAGAAATTAATTTAAAATAAACGAACTTTAAGAATATTACTTAATCTGTAAGTATTAACATAGGAAAATTATTATGAATTACTTTAAATCCTGGGAACTATAGAATTTATTTTTTATTTATATTATTTTATTAAAAAAAATATCTGGAATATTCCATCTCTTGTGTACCTTATATATATATATATATATATATATATATATATATATATATATATATATTATATATATATATATATATATATATATAGAGAGAGAGAGAGAGAGAGAGAGAGAGAGAAGGAAAAGGTAATTATATTTTAGAAATTAATAAATAATTTCTTAGTCTTCGTTTACTTTTATCACGTAGTTACATTTCCTCAGCTGGTTAAAGATTAACTTTTAAGTAGCTTCTTCTAGTATTCAAGGAACAGTTGAAAGTAAATTAATGTTTCCGGAATCGTAAAGAGACTTCCTCTAGCAACAGGATGGAAATGAGCATTGCCTGCTGAATATTTAACTACTCACAGCTCATCTTACTGTTGAGATTTTTGACCTGGATTTGTGATTTATCTATAAACAAAAAAACTTATATTGTATTTATTATATATTGCTGTTTGCTATTTTGCATCTGTGGAGTTAATTGTTTTTTTATCATTTTGTTTCATTCTCTAATATCGCTTACTATTAATTTTTGTAGAAGGGAAGTATCTCTGACAAAAGTTTTTGGTCTCAAAAATTACATACTTTAAAATTCCTTGGTTCCATAAAATTAAGTTTTGAAAAAAATTGTTATCTCGCTGTTATAATATTCCCTTATTTTCAAGTCAGGATCTTCAGAACAACTGGGTGTTATTTATATGAAATGTTTGATTATTGAAAAATAGAAATAGAAAATGGTTGAGACAGCCCTGATGAAGGTCTGAACTTCAGGTCGAAACTTGGGCAAATGTCAAAATAAATATTATCATTTATTTTTGCCTTCTTATTTGACTGATCACCCCAACTATTCTTCTCTTCAAAAATAGAAATAGTTAAAACCAGGATGTCGAACGAAATTTTAACTTATATTTTTAAACAGTTTAAGTATGACCAGAATCTTTATTTTCAATTATTTTTGTGTTTTTGCACAACTAGAACCTTTTCTCTTGCAAATTTTCAGATAAAGATTTTACAGAACTTTTATTTAAAAAAATTCTTTTATTTAAAAGTTGATAAATTGTTTTTGTCGATTTCACCAAAAAGTCTATCTAAAAATGACACTAATTTTTTGCTAACCAAACAAATGAAATGCCACATAAGAATTAATAATTCATTTAAGATAAATTATAACTCTAATCTAATAGTCTTTGGTACAGACTCCTTTTTATAAAATTATTTATTATCATCCAGCTGAAACTTAAATAGCTTCAGCTCATGGTAATCCCCTGCTATTTTATTTAGGCAAATTATCTAGCCAATCTCCAGATTGGGCCATTTTCAATCTGATGATTGGCAAAGTTTGTCTATTTAATTAGCTACTAAAAGCTGGTAAATACCCATTTCCTTTCCACTTGAATCATAAGCTAATTTGGACACAAAATCGAGTAAAAAGGTGGGTTTCAAAATATTGAGCTTATTTGGCGTGACTCACACCTCCAATATGTCAAAGTAACGAGGTTTATATAACCTATATTTCCAAATGGCCCAATATTTTTTTAGGTCATCCTTTTTCTCGATTTTGTGATCAAATTATCTTATGATCCAAGTGTAAAGCAAATGGGTATTTACAAGAGTTTAGTACTTATTTAAATAGTCAAAGTTTTTCGATTCGAGATTGAAAACGGCCCAATTCCGAAAATTTTCGTAAATAAAATAGTTGTAGATTACGGTAAAAGGAAGTTACTTACGAAGTTTGAGGTGTATGTTAATAATTTCAAAAAATTATTAAAAAAGGGGTCTGTACCACGGACTTAAAGCCCAATTACTGTTTATTTATCATTTAAGTAACTTTTTTAAGAACTTATATAAATAAATTAAATAAATGATAAATTTTACATTAAACGTAGAACTTTAATAACTTAACTTTAAAGAGTCAAGTTGTTTGTTTTGGAAACTACACCAGGAAGGAATAATGTTTATAACTAGAACAATAGTGTTTCGTTATTGAAATGATGATAGGTCTTATCGACATCGAATTTTGGCGTTCAACAATCTCCTTTTTAAATTTATATACCCTCCTAGGCGTCTGAAAAGAAGATGGCCTCGTGATCAACTTGTGTAAATATATTATTGGACAACTTATTGTAAGTTTTGCTGACTGATTTCCAGAAAGTGATAAAAGTATACTTTTTACTTTTGAAAGAAAAAAAAATATTCTTTTACTGAGATTTAACATGAAAAAAAACATTAGTTAGCTTAGGTATTTGCGTTTTCATATTTATCAGATTTATTAATCGTTTGAAATAAAAATAAATAAATAAAAAATAAATTCCATTGGTCCGTCAGCATTGTAAACGAGTATATATACTATTTTAGTTTGAATGAAATGAAGTATTTTTTTTTTTTATGTTATTTTAAATTAAATATGGTTTTAATAATAGTATTGGTGCAAATTCATTTACAAATGTATCATGAAATATGAATTTTCTCTTCATACTTTTAATTATAACAAAATATATTCACATTTTTCATTTCCATCACGTACCGGTCCCACCTATTGATTTTATATTTTGTTTTTCTAAAGCATTATATTACATTTAGAACGGCCTGGCATTGAGTGACGTTTCATTCCTCTTCAATATGCCCGACAAAAACTCCCCTTTTTTCTCTCAGGATTATTTTTCTTTGTCCTACCTGTTATTGTTATTCAGAGCTCATCGCTTAGGAATACGATACGGCTTATGTACATTTTAGGTTTTATTTCATTATGTTCTTATTTGTTTTATGATTGAGAAATTTAAAATATTAATGGAACATGGAATTATTATTTATTTTATTTCAAGTTATTATACTCTTAAACCTGTCATCAAGCTTTATCTTTGTGTAATCTTATGATTTATTTATTTTTCTTTTGATTTATTCATTTCTCATTTATACTATTTTTATTTAAAAATATAAATAAAAACGTAAATGTTATCGTATGCCGACGGGAATTTCGCGAATCTGTTTCCGAACTTAAATCTTTCAGGGTTGTGGTCAAAATTAACTGGGTTCGTATCTTCATGAAATTGCCTGATTAATATATTGAATTATTAGGGCCACGTCTTGCCAATGAATCGAAATATTTTTCTGTGTTAGTTTCTTGTTTATCAGATGCTCAGAAATTTTAGGTTGGAAGTAATTAGGTATAAAAGCTTCCTATCTTGCAATGTTAATTGAGTCCAAGTGACTAATGCCATCAATTTATAACTGATGGGTTTATGCTGCAATCCGGCTATAGTTGAAACTGTGTATTTTATTCTGTCACGTCCACGATGTGAATCGACGCTGGGTTCTGGGCCTGTCAGACCCTTCTGAATCGATCTCAATCCCAATCAAATCACCTAAGTGTTTATACCTTGGTCAATTATCAGAAGCCGAGCTACAGCAGAGTGGAACAAAAAGAGAAAAGTGGAGGGATGGAAACGGATTTTAATAACTCTTAAAAGCTTATTGGTTAAGAAATGATTGGTTAAGAAATTGGTTAAGAAATGATTTTTTCATTTCTGGTGGCCTTAGTGGCATTCGCCAAGATTCAAGAAGACCTAGATCAAATCAGTACAGGTACTTACTAGGTCATTTTTATGAAATTTCAGTTGATTCACAAGAAAGGTTATTTAGTAAGTCAACTTTATGAAATCAAAACTTTTTCATTGAAACTATTTACCCTCATTTCTATACGTTTTCCCCTATGTATTAACAACTTTTCAATCTCATAATTGAAAAGGATTTTGGGAAGAAATGAAG